TGTTTTAATGAGCACTGGGTATTTTGTAAGACTAATGAATCACAGACCTGTACCCCTGAAACAAATAATACATTCTATGTTAATTAACCAATTTAAAAAAAAAAAAACTCTCAGGGCATCAGGAAGAGAAGGGAACTTCTTCAAACTCATAAAGAGCATCTACAAAAACCTAGAGTTAATATACTTTATGGTAAAAGACCAAATCCTGAATGTTTTTCCTCTAAAATTGTTAAAAAGGATGTCTACTCTTACCACTCTTATTTAATTTTTTTTTTTAGATTTTATTTATTTATTTGCCAGAGAGAGAGAGAGAGAGAGAGAGACAGCGAGAGAGGTAATACAAGCAGGGGAAGTGGGAGAGGGAGAAGCAGGCTTCCCGATGAGCAGGGAGCCCGATGCGGGGCTCAATCTCATGACCCTGGGATCATGACCTGAGCCAAAGGCAGATTTTTAACGACTGAGCCACCCAGGAGCCCCATTACCACCCTTATTTAATACAGCCCTGGAAGTTCTAGCTATTCCAATAAGGCAAGAAAATAAAGGGCACAGTTTGGAAAAAAAAGGAAATAAAACTATTTGCAAATGATATGACTGTCTACAATAATGAATCTACAAGGAAATAATTGAGTTGAATAAGGTCACAGAATACAAGATCAACATACAAAATCAATTTAATTTCTATACATTGACAATAAGCAACAACCAAAATAAAAAGGCAATTTATAAATGCTCCTGAAAAAAAAAATAGGTAAAAAATTAACAAAACATGTACAGGATTATAAAATGCTAATAAAAGAAATCAAAGAAAAAATACTTGAAGAAACATACTGTGTTCATGGATTGGAAGACTCAACAGAGTAAAGATGTTAATTCTCTAACTTCATCTACAGGTTTAACATAATTCCTATGAAAGTATCAGCAAGTTTTTTTTGTAGACACAGACAACCTTATTTTAAAATTTACATGCAAGGGGTGCCTGGGTGGCTCAGTTGGTTAAGCATCTGTCTTCGGCTCAGGTCATGATCTCAGGGTCCTGGAATCGAGCCCCCTCTTCAGGCTCCCTACTCAGCAGGGAGTCTGCTTCTCCCCCTCCCTCTGCCCCTCCCCCCACTTGTGCTCACTCTCTCTGTCTCTCAGATAAATAAAATCTTTAAAAAATAAAAATAAATAAAATTTATATGCATAGAAAAGAGCACTAAGGATAGTCAAAGAATTCTGAAAAATAACAAAGTGGGAAGAATCACTCTTTCCAGTATTAAGGTTTACAGTAATTAAAGTATGGTACTGGCAGAGGGTCACAAAGATCAATAGTACAAAACAGAGAACTCAAAAATGGAGCCACACAAATGTGTCCAACTGATTTCTGACAAGGATGAAAATGCAATTCAATGGATAACGTTTTAAATAAATGGTGATGGAGCAACTGGACATCCATGGGGGAAAAAAAATTAACCTTGACCTAAAGTCTCACATCTGTAAAAATGAACTCAAGATGGTCCATACACTTAAATGAAAAATGTAAAACTATAAAACTTATAGAAAAACACAGGAGAAAATCTTTAAGATGTACGACTAAGTGAAGTGTTTAGGCTTGACATCAAATAAATAAAAAAAAAAACAACCCTCACAATTCGTAAGATTAAAAATGGACAAATTAGGGCGCCTGGGTGGCTCAGTTGGTTAAGCGACTGCCTTCGGCTCAAGTCATGATCCTGGAGTCCCGGGATCGAGTCCCGCATCGGGCTCCCTGCTCAGCAGGGAGCCTGCTTCTCCCTCTGACCCTCCCCCCTCTCATGTGCTCTCTCTCTCTCATTCTCTCTGTCTCAAATAAATAAAATCTTAAAAAAAATAAATAAAATAAATAAATAAATAAATAAATAAATAAATAAAAATGGACAAATTAGATTCTATGTAAATTAGAAACTTTTGCTCTGCAAAAAACCTTGGTAAAAGGTTGAAAAGAAAAATTACAGACTTGAAGAAAATATTTGTTTAACTCACAAATCCACAAAGGCCTATCTAGAATACGTAAAGAACTTTGAAAATGCAACATTAAAACACCAAATAATCAAATTAGAAAATGGGCAAAGACATGAACACACACGTCACTGAAGAGGATACACAGATAGCAAATAAATACATGAGAAGATATTCAACAAAATTTTCTATTAAGGAAATTCAAATTAAAACCACATTGAGATATCACTACCCACATATCAAAATGGCTAACATGAAAAACAGATATAACAACAAATGCTGGCTAGGATTCAGTGAAACTGGATCACTCCCGTATTGCTGGTAGGAATATAAAATAGTAAAACCAAAAATAGTTTGGCAGTTCCTTTCATTACATGTTTGAGCTTTATCCCAGACTTCTTTTCTTTTTTATTATTATTATTTATTTATTTGACACAGAGAGAGAGCACAAGCAGACAGAACGGCAGGCAGAGGGAGAGGGAGAATCAGGCTCCCTGCAGAGCAGGGAGCCCGACGCGGGGCTCGAACCTAGGACCCCGGGATCATGACCTGAGCCAAAGGCAGATGCTTCACCGACTGAGCCACCCAGGCGCCCACCAGATTTATTTTCATGTACACACTTTTACATGAATATAAGGAACATATATATATACATGTTTATGTGTATATATATAGTTGTAATTCATATAATATATATATTTACATTCAGGTACTATATACATGAGATAGAAGAGCCAACTTCAAAAGGACATACCGTAGGATTCCATTTATATAACATTCATGAAATAACATAATTAAATAGATGTAGAAGAGATTAGTGGTTACCAAGGGTTAGGAATAAGGGAGAATGGGATGGGTATAGCAATAACAAACAGGAGGGAGCCTTAAGGTGACAGTACTATTATTTTGACTACTGTGGTATGATACAAGACTATGTGATAAACCTGCATAGAACTATACACACAGAAGTCTGAAAAAGTTCTATGGATTGTACCAATGTCAATTTTTCAGTATGATATTGTACTGTTGTGCCAGATGTTAACATCTGGGGAGGCTGGAGGAAGTGCACATGGGACTTCCTTCTACATTTCTTTTTTTTTTTTTTTTAAGATTTTATTTATTTATTTGACAGAGAGAGAGATAGCTAGAGCAGGAACACAAGCAGGGGGAGTGGGAGAAGGAGAAGCAGGCTTCCCGCTGAGCAGGGAGCCCGATGCGGGGCTTGATCCCAGGACTGAGATCAGGACCTGAGCGGAAGGCAGACGCTTAACGACTGAGCCAGCCAGGCGCCCTCCTTGTACATTTCTTCGTAACCTCCTATGAATCTAAAATTATTTCAAAATTCAAAGTTTTTTTTTTTTTAAGATTTTACTTATTTATTTGAGAGAAAGAGAGAAAGAGCACAGAGGGAGAGTGAGAGGGAGAAGCAGACTCCCCGCTGAGCAGAGAGCTCAATGCAGGGCTCGATCTCAGGACCCTGGGATCATGACCTGAGCTTTAGCAGATGCTTAACCGACTGAGCCACCCAGGCGCTCCTCAAAATTAAAAGTTTTAAAAAAGAAACCACTACACCTTTGCGAAAAGAAAGGCATGGTCAGGCATCAAAAACTGATAGAAGAATGACATCTTTAAATGAAAACAAAACACTTAAGAGTATATATCATTTTTCCATGATTCCTTCCATATTAGTTTCTTAGGACTGCTGTAACAAAGAACCACAAACTGGGTGGCTTAAAACAACAGAAATATACTCTCTCACAGTTTTGCAGCACTAATACTGATTCACAGATATCATCAAAGACCACTCATCTGGAGTATGGCCCTGCTCTTGGCCTCCAGGACCCTATACTTTCCTAGATGACCTCCTTCCTTCCCAATCAACCCTCTACTATCTCTCTCCTTTTTTTTTTTTTTAGTATTTTATTTATTTACTTCAGAGAGAGAGAGCACAAGTGAAGGGCAAAGGGAGAGGGATAAGCAGACTCCCCGCGAGCAGGGAGCCCGATGAGGGACTCGATCCCAGGACCCTGGGATCATGACCTGTGCCAAAGGCAGACATGTAACTGACTGAGCCACCTAGGCACCCAACCCTCTGCTATCTCTACTTCCTCAATGTAATTTTCTTTAACTTTCCCAATTTCTAATCAACCTTAATTTTGCTACTATACCATTAGAACATATGTTCTTGATCCACTACTGTAACACTTAAAAAAAGGTATTCCTGTTACCTCGTAAAGCAACTTGTAGGAATTTTTTTAAAAATTAATAAACACTGTTGACTGTCTTTTGATGAATAAATATTTTTAAGTTTGCTGTACTCCCATTTGTCTATTTTGCTTTGTTTACCTATACCTTGCTTGGTGTCATATCCCAGAAATCACTGCCAAATCCAATGTCATGAAACTTTTTCCCTATATTTTCTTCTAGTTTGGAGTCTTAGATTTAGTTCTTTGATCCATTTTGAGTTAATTTTTGTATATGGCGTAAGGTAAGGATCCAACTTTATTCTTTTGCATATGGATATCCAGTTTGCCCTACTCCATTCATTAAAGATAGTCCTTTCCCCCATTGAATGGTCTTGGCACCTTTATCTAAAATCATTTGGTCATATATGTGAGGGTTTATTTCCAGCCTTTTTATTCTATTCCATTTTTGAAAGATTTTATTATTTAGAGAGCGCGTGCAAGTGAGGGAAGGGGGAGAGAGAGAGAATCTCAAGCAGATGCCATGCTGAGCACAGAGCCCAATGTGGGGCTCGATCTCACAACCCTGAGATCATGACCTGAGCTGAAATCAAGAGTCAGACACTTAGGCTACTAAGTCACTCAGGCGCCCCTATTCTATTCTACTGATCTATATGTCTGTCTTTATGCCAGTACCACAGTCTGATTACATAGTGTTATAATTAGTTTTGAAATCAGGTTTTCCCTAATTAGTCTAAAATAACCTTACTAGCCCAACATTCTGACCAGTGGGCCTACTCCTTGAAATAGCTTCCTGCCTCCTGATCATTGCTCACTTACCTGGGCACCGTCCTCCTGTCACTTCCCTCACAACCATCCAGGGCTCCTTCCCTTGCTCTAATGAAGAGATCACAGCCGGCTTAGATATAGAAAGTCCTGGTTATAAGAAAAAAATGGAGATGAAGTGGAAATCAAAGTACCCAAATACTATGGTTCAGAATTGATAAAAAAAATAAACTATAGCACAAAATGGTATTTGATAAAGTCTACAGTTGAAAAAAAGAATAAATTAAACACTCATATTCAGGTAAACTCAAGATAAAAAAACAAAGCAAATAAATAGGTGATAAAATGCTACTTAAATTAGATAAGCTTTCTATCTCTACTTCGCTATGTGGAAAAAACAGCTTCTTAAGTATGCTTATTTCAGATATTTTTCAATGTTAAATGAAAAGTTCTTAGAATGTAACTCCCAAGTGCAAAGTGTTTAAAAGAGAGCACATTTGTTGTAGGAAATGCAATAGTGCTCATTTGAGCACTAAATAGTTAAGTGATATTTCTTGATCCAGTCCATCACTACATTAACTGGGAAAGCTAAAGAGCTTTACACCCAGGCCCCATGTGTTTAGTTTTAACCTACTCTAGTGCACCTGCAGGTTTAGCACAGTGCAAATGAAACAAAAGATTAAGTGGTTTCTTTGACCATTAACTAATTAACAATTAATTTATTAACATTAAATAATTAAATAATTAAGCATAAGCTTTAATGGTACAGAATTCCAATTCTGTTCTTTAATCATCAAGGAAGAACACTGATTATAAGGACCAGAGGAAGGGTCAAGGATGGGGAAAATGAAGACGCACCCCCATCTAAGTGTGCACATTTTTATGCAAAGAAAAAAATTCATCTAGTTATTTGAAAGGTAGCTCTAAAATTCATGGTAAAGAAAGCAGAAATTCTAAGAAACAGATTCTAAATTATTAGAGGCAGGTAACTTTACCCAGTGAAACCAAATTGCTATAGTTCTCCAACATCACATCTTTGTACAAATTCCTCTGTGTAGGGTTCAGGCATTCCCATTCCTCCTGAGAGACATCTATAGCCACATCTTTGAACATCACCATCCCCTAAAATGACAAATAACAGTACTATTTTCTTAAATTATAAGAAATATTTTTCAAAAGGAAGAAGAGGTGCTAAAAGAAAGCATGCAGGAAAAGGACAGTATATATACATATATATGTGTGTGTGTGTGTGTATATATATATATATATATATATATATATATATATATATATATATAGTGTATAGTGAGTATATAGGCAAAGGTGGAAGCTTGTAACATGGGTCAAAAAGAAATTTAGTGGAAATGAAGCAGAGTGCTTCCATGTTCTTAAAAATTCAATTTTTGCAGACACATCCTCTTGCATAGGATGGAAAATCAGTCATCTAGAAATTTTAAAAAATAAGTAGAGGTTTCCAACTAAGTTAAATAGTTGGAATTTTTAAAATCTTTCCAGAATGTCTTATGAAAACCTCCAACTTGAGAAAAAGGACTTGAAGATTTTTCTTCATCATTATGACCATTATGTCATAACCATTTTTACTTTTCATGCAAATTCTTTAGTAAATATCCAGTGCAGATTGTATTTTCCAAGGATAGATAGAACAACAACTCCCATCCCATATGCTCTTCTTCAGTGTAACCTTGACATGCCCCCACACCACTGGTATAAGGTCTATGTCCTCTGCCCTTGAACCTGATCCTGGGAAAACAGTTGTGACTTACTCAACTTATAAAGTATAGCAGAAATAACTATGTGACTTCTGAAACTGGATTATAAAAAATGTCTCTCCACCCAGTGAGAACACCCTACACCAGTTCCCATAATGTCTATCTGGAAAAGTCAAAATTGTGGAAAAGTTCAAAGATTTCCCATGTGTGATTCAATTAACCATTTTCCCCTGACAACACCATTTCCTGTGAGGACATCTCAACTGGGTGGCTGGTTTTTCTCCTACAATCTTACTCTTTCCTCAATCTCACTCTGTCCTCTCTTCTCCTCATTGCTGGTGCCAGCAACTGTCCCTCCGTCTCTAAAATCTAATGTCATCATTTCATCAGACTATACATGCATTATTTCTACCTATTGCAGTGATGTGCTAACATGCAGATTTTTCCCCCTCAGGAATTTTAGCTCCTGGCTCAGTGCCACCATCTCCAATACTACTCCTATCTTAATTCTCAGTGATTTCAAATATCTATTTAAGTATTCCATCTATCATCCTGGCCTCCCAATTTCCTCACCTCCTCTCCAATGAGCTTGTCTTCCACTCTAGTTCACTCTTTGTATCACTATCCTAGACATCATCATTAATAGTAACTTCAACATCTCCAAAATATCAGCTGTCTTTCTCTCTGGACACCTTTACATTGTCACTCACCACACTCATACCTCTTCTCCCTTCCTACCCAACTTAAAGTCTATATTCAGCTAATCATCCAACTTCATAATGAGCCTGATGTGAACTTCCTTTTCATATTTGCTAATAAGCAAAGCCTGAATCCTAGATAAATCTCTCTTCCTACTCTATCACTGTATCTATGTAACTGAATATGATTAGAGAAAATCACCAACCTTAATGACGAGTTTTTATTTTTATATTTTGTTTCCCTTTCTTAAATAAACATTCAGATGTCTTACGCCCACCTTGTCCTTTCCATTTTGTCTCCCACCTCCTAACCCCTTACAGATAAGCAATTTCGTAAGTTTCTTTGATATCTTTACAATGTTTTTAAGCAAATACAAATATATATATTATTTTCTACACTTTTACACAGAAGGTAACATACTATAATATATACACTGTTCTATACTTGATTTTTAAATTCTAAAGTTAATGGTTTCCTTATTTTTCTATAGGTACATATAGTCCATTTTTTGCATTTATCATAGTTTATTTAACCAGACATCTCTAGATGGATACTTGGTTGTTTCCAATCTTTTGCTCTAACAAACAATAGTGCAATGAATATTCCTGTAAATATGTCATTTTGTATACATACAGGTATATCTGTACCAGAAAGTCTCAGAAATCAGATTGCTAGGTCAAATGGAAAATGCATTTGTAATTCTGGTAGATGCTGTCAAGTTTCCCACTATAGCAGCTGGACCATTTTGTCAGACACCAGCAATATATGAGAGTACCCATTTCCTCACAGCCAAGGCAGCAAAGTATTTTGTCAAAACATTTTGTTTTTATCAATTTAATATGATAAAGAAATTATATGTCAGTAGAATTTTAAATGGTATTTCTTGAATTATGAGTTGAGTATTTTTCTTTTTGGGGGTCTTTTATATTTCTTTTTCTGTGAAATTTCTGTTGATGTCCTTTGACTCTTTTCCTACTGGGCCATTGGTCTCTTTTTTAAATTTCTTAGTCTTTACAAATTAGATGATAAGTTCAGTGCCTGTATATGAATTGTAAATACTTTCCCCATTTTGTCATTTCTCTTCTGACTTTTCTTACCAGTGTTTCTTGCCATGTAGAAGTTTTTTATTTTTATGTAATCAAATTTGTTAATACTTTCTCTTTTAGTTCCTAAAATTTTGAATCCTAGTTAGAAAGTCCTTCCAAACATCAAAGTTATGAAGGAATACTCTCATGTTTTAGTCTAGTAATATTATGATTGCATTTTTAAAAATTAAATCATTCAATTTAATTAGAGTTTATTCTATATGGTAGATGAAATACAGAGTGGGCTTTATTTTCCAAAATGGCTACCTAGTCTATCTTTAACCAAGAAGGTAAAAGAATTGTATACTGAAAACTGTAAGATGCTGATGAAAGAAAGACAGAAGTAAATGAAAAGATATCCCATGCTTAACGTATGGAAGAATTAACATTGGTAAAATGTCCATACTACTCAAAGCAATCTACAGATTCAATGTAATCCTTCGATTCCCAATGGAATTTTTCACAGAAATACAACAAATAATCCTAAAATTTCTATGAAACCATCAAAGACCTCAAATACCAAAGCAATCTTGAGAAAAAGGAACAAAACTGGAGACATCACATGTTCTTGTTTCAAACCACATTACAAAGCTATAGTAATCAAAACAGTATGGTATTGGCATAAAAACAGACACATAGATCAGTGAAACAGAATAGGAAACCCACACATATATGGTCAATTAATTTTTGACAAAGGAGCCAAGAATATACAATGGGGAAAGGAGAGTCTCTTCAATAAATGATGTTGGGAACAGTGGACAGCCACATGAAAAAGAAGTAGACTGTATCACTATCTTATACCATACATAAAAATCAACTCAAAATGGATTAAAGACTTGAATATAAAACCTAAAAGTATAAAACTTCTAGAGGAAATCATAGGTGGTAAAGGTACTTGGCAATGACTTTTTGGATTTGATACCAAAACAGCAAAGGCAACAAAAGCAAAAATAAACAAATGGGACTACATCAAACTAAAAATCTTCTGCACAGCAAAGGAAATCATCAACAAAATGAAAAGGCAACCTACATGGAGAAAAATTTTGTAAATCATGTATCTGATAAGGGTTTAATAATCAAAATATAAAGAACTCATAAAACTCAATAGCAAAAAACCCCAAATAATCTGAATTAAAAATGGGCAGAGGATCTGAGTAGACATTTCTCCAAAAAAGACATAAAAATGGCCAACAGGTACATGAAAACATGTTCAAAATCACTGATCATCAGGGAAATGCAAATCAAAACCATAATGAGATATTGCCTCACACTCAGAATGGCTATTATCAAAAAGACAAGACATATCAAGTGCTGGCAAGGATGTGGAGAAAGGGGAACCCTTGTGTACTATTGGTGAGAAATGTTAATTGGTGAACCTACTACAGAAAACAATATGAAGATTCCTCAAAAAAATTAAAAATAGAATTATCATATGATCCAGCAATTCCATTTCTGGGTATTTACCCAAAAGAAATGAAAATATCTACTTGGAAAGCTATTGGGACCTCCATGTCCACTGCAGCATCATTTATAATAGGCAACATGTAGAAAAAAAATCCCAGTGTCCTCCAATGGATGAATAGATACAGAAAATGTGATACACACACACACATAGACAAGAATATTATTCAGCCATTAAAAAAAAAAAAAAAAAAGGAGAGGCACCTGGGTGGCTCAGTTGGTTAAGTGTCCAACTCTTGATCCCAGCTCAGGTCTTGATCTCAGGGTCCTAAGTTCAAGCCCGGTGTTGGGCTCCACATTTGGTGTAGAACCTACTTTAAAAAAGAGGGGGTGGCGCTTGGGTGGTTCAGTTAGTTAAGCATCTGACTTCAGCTCAGGTCATGATCTCAGGATCCTGGGATCAAGCCCTCCACTCAGCAGGGAGTCCGCTTCTCCCTCTCCTTCTGCCCCGCCCCTTGCTTGTGCTCTCTAATAAATAAAAATAAAATCTTAAAAAAAAAAAAGGAAATCCTACCGTTTCCAATAACTTGGATGGACCCTGATGGCATTATAATAGGTGAAATAAGCCAGACAGAGAAAAACAAATGCCACTTATATGTGAAATCTAAAAACAGAAAACAAAAATCAAACTCATAGATGCAGAGAACAGATTGGTGGTTGTCAGAGATGGGGGGGTGAAATGGATGAAGCTGGTCAAAAGGTATGGTGACTATAGCCATTAATACTGTATATCTGAAAGTTGCTAAAAGACTAGATCTGAAAAGTTTTCATCACAAGAAAAAAACTTGTAACTATGTGTGGTAATGGATATTAACTAGATTTACTGTGGTGATCATTTTATAACATATACATACACCAAACCACCCAGTGTTGTGCACCCAAAACTAACACAATGTTACATGCCAATTATATCTCAATAAAAAAAGTCTATCTTTAGCTTGCTGTTTTGAGATATCACTTTTACTGATATTCAGTTACCATATGCAGGTGTATTTCTAAATTTTTCTATTCTGTTCCCTTGATCTATTTATACACCAGTACCATGATGTTTTAAGTACCATGCTTTATATTATGTATAATTATATGAATTATCTGGTAGAGCTAACCTCTTCTAAGAGGGGATTAACAAGATCCAGAGTCAGAGTCA